AAGGGACAAGAGTCCTAGATAAAAAAGAAGACTTTGCTAAGATAAGAATAAAACTCTTAGGGAGTTTATCTTTATCTCTTGAGGAATCCAAAGTAAGTACTAAATTGGAATCCATAGAAGTGAGGCTTCTAGTAGGACTTGGATTGAGTAAACTATAAAAGAGAGGCACCCCCGTGGGTCTAAGGTAAGCAGTTTTATACTCAAGCTTGTGATTTTAGCACTTGATTATCTTTGAGAGATATACTGACTTGATCGTCGGAGTGCCCCCGGGTGGAAGAGCCACCGCCGGAGCCTTATTCTTTCTGTTACAGGTTTGCTGAAGCCATCTATTCTGCCGGTACTCTCCAGCTGATTACTAGGCGGGCAGTGTGGTCGGAAAATCACTCACACAGTAGTAGCACTCTAAACAATTTGTTCAACGAACAAAACCTTGTGTTCTATACTCTCTTTATTTTTCCAAAAAAAAACTAATATGAAGAGTATTTATGCAAAGAGCAAAACTGGACAACAAAGTGAAACTTTTAGATTATTTTTTGGATCATCAAACTGCTGGAACAATGTTGGTATTTATAGGCAAAATAATCTGCCTGAACAGGTGCAAATTTTGAATGAACAGATGCAGTCCAAAATTCAATGGATCTGCTGGACAAATTGATCTGTGTAAATTTAGCAGCTATAAGCAGTTAACCAGGAGATAAAAATGGACAAAAAATTAATTCAATTTTTGGCACAAAATTTTTTCATTAAAAAAGACCTAACCCACACTCGTGTCCCGTTGGACAAACGACAGCGGTCGCATGTGGTGGTTTGGGCTAAGGTTCATTTTGTCCATAACTCCTCCCTTCTACAAACTTGGGGTGTCCTTTGGGGCCCAACCCAAGTGTTGCAATATAGAGCTTATATACATACATAAGTTCTCCTCAAGTTTCAATGTGGGACAACCCATTTTAAGGAAACCCACATTTACTTTTTTAATTGTCCATTTCATGAACCCGAAAACGACATTAACTTCCCATTCACTCATAAATGGTTTTGATGAACTGCCTTCACCGTGCGACTTACCATATGGTAAGGAACACGTCACCTCTTCGAACCTACCCCAAAAAACGTTTGGGGCCCACTCAAACGTAACACTCTAAACGTAATAAAGTAACATTCCAAAAATACTTCTGTGTACTTTTAATAACTTAAACGTAACACGCTAATGTAATATACTAAAAAACTCCTTATACTTTTCTTAAACGTAACATTCTAAAATAGCTCATCAGTGTATTTCTCCCAAACGTAATACTCTAATCAATGTAACACACAAAAACTCCTTAGTGTACTTTTTCTAAGCGTAGCACTTTAATATAACACCTCAACGTAACAAAAACGTAAATTTTCACGCTCGACAACTAACACTTCAGCTACCAATCCATCCAAAAAGAATCTTCCACACCTTATCTTTCTACTCTCATCTTAAAAATGAATCAAAAAATTAGAAAAATAAATCACGAAAGAGCATTCACTTAAACTCAAATGGTATCAAATTAAATAAATACAATTTCTTAAAACAAAAAAGGCTAATTGATTCATAAGAAAATTCTTAAAATTAAATAGATTAATATTCCCTCCTATAAGATTTATGAGTAAATTTTTCAAAGAAAAACTCAATTCATGAGTTTCATGACAAAGAAAATTAAGAAAACAAAGAAAAGAGTTAACAAAATCTATAAAACAGCAATAATCAAAATCTCTATCAACATTGGTCAAATGAATGCATCAACGTTAAGGGCTCAATAAGTTTTAGACCTTTTTTTAAAAAATATTTTTTCACCTTCTTTTCCTGATTTAAGACAATTTAATTTTATTTAAGTGTATGACTTGTTTGGCAATAAGCAAGCTTTTTAGAAGGAAACCAAAAAAATAATAAAAATTGGAGCTGACAATTTAAATGCAAAAATTAATAGCAACATTCTCTCGATTTTTCAATAATCAAAATTTAAATTTTTTAAAGTTATTATTATCTGATAAGTTATAAACATAAATTACAACTCATAAATGCTCCCCAAAAAAAAAATCATAATCACCCCCATAAGCTACAATGGAGCAATTTCGACCTTCAACCTTTGAAATTATGAGAGATTGTAAAATTTAAATTAATGTAACAATTATAGACTGTTAATTTTGAATTTTTAGCTGCATGAAATGGGCAAACTTCAACCTTCTACCTTTGAAATTAAAGAAAATTTTTAAATTTTAAATTGACGCAATAATTATACGGTGTTGATTTAAAATTTTTAATGATGTATTGTAATTTTATACATTGAAATAAAATCTCTATTTCAAACATAGAATCGAAACGTTCTAAATCCTAAAAAAAAAAAAAAAAAATTAATTCCATCAAATCTCTCAATTTGCTCAAACTACATTCAATAATTTTCAACGTTGTAAAAATGAATCAAGATCCTCTCCTTGTGTTCTCTCATTGGCTTCTTACTTGTTGGGTTATTAGGTCCATTTGTTAGCTCAATTTCAATGATCCGAACCGTTCACATTTTAAAATTTATTGAGTATATCATATCTGTAAAAAATTAAGTTGATCAGATATCAGAAACTATGTGTTCGGATCATCAAACTAAAAACTATTTTTTAAAAAAATTTAATAAACAATTGTCTGAACATATGTTTTCTGAAGTTGTAGTGCCCGAATAAGATTTATCAAAAAAAAATATTCAATTGTCGACACCATGTGACCATTCCACACGCTAATTTTTAATGTTCTTCTCTCATTATATCTTTTAAAACACAACATAGAGTAGTATGTACGCACCAATTTGATTTATGACCTCACTTGATAATGGATATATTGTGTAAGTTTAAAGTGGATAATTTGTAACCTCACGTGATAATCAATGTACCCCCCTTCCCCCAACTTATTCAAATTATTTCAACCTAATATGCTATGAACATAGGGGTAATTTGGGAAACCAACTAAAAGTTAACTTTTAGTTTTTAACTCATTTTAAGTCACATCACTTCTTATATTTTTCATATATAAAAAAACAAAAAATTAAAAAATTAACTTTTAACTAATTTTTCAAATCATTCCATAAATTATACTAAATACTTGATACATATTTTTTGAATAAAAATATATAAATAACTTAAAATAAATTACACTGAACAAGGGGTCTTGCCTCACACCGTGCTTCATGGGGTCTTTCCTCTCAACGTAACCCCCAAGGCAAAAAGATGCCAAAGATGTCCACCAAAGCAATATAATGCTTTTAGGTACGAGTTTAGATTTGTTCATCGGATTCGAATTCTTTCCTAACATATATATTTTTTTACCAATAATATTTTAGAATTATAATTTAAGAGTGTTAATACAACTTTAATAATGTGAAGAATACTTATGTGGAGGTAAGACCCACACTCCTCTCTCTATCTCTCTCTACTGTCTCTCTCTCTTCCACCTCACTGGAGCTTCATTTAGAGATATCAAATTAGAGTCATGTTTCATTACTCTTGTATTTTTTAGTCATTATTTAATAATTGATCTAAAGACTATTTTGAGAAGATGGTTATAATTAGCTTTTTGATTAAAAGCTGCTTAAAAGTTGATTATAATCAGTTTTTTGTGAGAGATGAAAGTGTGTTATAATCTGAGAAGTGGAGGAGAGAGAGAAGTTAACAATTTTTTTCTTTTTTAAATTACATATATTTAACACACATTTTAACTATACTACTAAAATACCTAGTCGCTTCCTAAATTAACAAACACTAACATATAAAATTGAGCCATATTTTTACCACTTTTTATCGATTAACACACTTTATTACATAATTTTAATCATCCCATTTGAGATGTTCTAAACTAGTTGGCCAAATATATTATGGGATGAGAGTGAAATGAGAACCTATATTGTGGCATGTATTTACTCAAAACCCTTCAACTTTAGCCCCCCTTACAGAACTTTAGCCCCCCTTAGAGGACGTCGAGAAATGAAGTATATACAATTTTTATATTTGAGAGGATTAATATAAACGGATTCATAAAGAAGGAAGGTAAAGTGATATTCACTAATAATACAGGGATTTCTAGTACAATAATCCCTTGACCCTAGGATAACTCTGGAGTGTACAAGACATATGGCATACTATTTACTTATGTATTTTTGTGACTTAGGTTACACACTGTTGTGAAAACTTACGACACATTTTATGAGTTAGCTTATGCAAATTTGTGTTAAATTACACAATTTTGTAAAGTGACATATATATTTGTGAAAACTTACGCCAAATTGTGATTTTTTAAAATTTTTGTGAGTTAACTTACGTGAATTAATGTTTAAGTTACATTATTTTATGAGGTAACTTACGTATGTTTGTGAAAACTTAAGCCATGGTGTGATTTCTTAAATTTTTATGAATGAACTTGTGCAAATGTGTTTAAGTTATGCGATCTTGTAATATAACTTGCGTATTTTTATAAAAACTAACATATTTTTATGAGAACTTACACAAATTTACATACACCTTGCACATTCGCTTAACCCTATCATTCTTCAGAATTAACATATAGTACTGCAGTTGTTATATTAGAAGATCGAGGTATGTAATACAGGGATTGTCCCCAATGCTCATATTTTGGGTAAAAGTTGCACCTAGGTAGAGTTCTACTCTTCCCTATTTAATTGAAATAAATTTTCAATTCCTCCAAAAAAATTTAAAAAATAAAAACATTACTACATCATTCTAGCTTATATTCTGTAAAATAAAAATTAAAAATTAAAAACATAATTTTACCCATGTGAAGAACATTAACCTTGCAGTTTAAAAATAGCTAATTCACTCTCACATACCTTTAGCACATAATTTTAGATTAAATAAAACCGCAACTCGTCCATGCTATCTATAAAAAAAAGATACCAACCCTTTTAATAACATACAATCACTAGTCTCAGGAATGTGAAATTTCTCATTTGCACAACCGCCCTTCTAACAGCAAACGGTAAAATTAAATGCACAGCTTACCTCAATTAATAAACACAAGGCCACCTTTAAGGGCAAGTACATGATACAATGAAAATAGAAGCATTGATCAGAAAAGGCTTCAATCATTCATGCTTCAACCAAAATATCAATATATCAATCTCTACTGTATTCAAAGCAATCCCGCATGCATAGAATTTTCAAGTGACAGAAGCATAACAAAATGAAGATAACCGATTTTGTATTAAAAACTCTGCTCTTATAAATCTCATTCATGGACCCAACACGGGGTTACTCTATCCACCAGAAGTAGGTGTTCAAATTTCAAGTATCCTCGTATAAATGAGGAATGCACAAGAACTGTAAAAGCAGATTCTCCATCGTTACTTGTCCACTCAAGAAAATCCAACAATGGCATTATTCAAAACTGTAGTTATTTCCAAACACAAGCCACAAGACTGACTTACTTCGCCAATACGAAGGGTTGAAGAGAATTCAAGAAAGGCACGAGTATGCCAAAGCCTTTTCCTCAGAGAGCTCTTCCGCTGTCAAGTCCAACTTCTTCCTCGACAACTCGTCAATTGGAAGACCTGGACATGGAAAGGGAAGCAGAAAACTAGTTGAGAAACTATCAAGAAAATCAGAAATTGATGATTCCCAAAATATACAAATGACCAACTAAGGATAAAAGCTCAGAAAAGTTGACCCTTCAGAAACTGTTTTCTGAAAAAAATTCAGAAACTACTAGAAAAAAAAAAAAAAAAAAAAAAAACTATAGATTTAAACACACTATTTTCATATAGTTCTCTTTTTCGGGGGTGGAAACAATTTTTAAAAATTTAAAAATAACTTTTTGGAGTTTATTTTTGTCAAAAAGTAAGTTTCTAGTTTTTCCAAAAAAAAAAATCAGAAAATATATTTTGAAAACTCAACCAAACACTATAATTTTAAGGATTTAAAAAATTGATAAATAATTTTAAGGATAAAACTCAATTTTTCATCATTTTGTTTTGCATAAATTGAAAGACTAACTAATGAATTGGACTCAAGTGCAGGGACCAAAATATTCAAATTGAAACTATAATGATTAAAATCAAATTTAAATCAAATTATAACGGTGAAAAATGTAAATAACCCAATTTTTTTAAAGTAGTCTGAAGTGTCCTAATAGAAAGTTGATAGTACTTAATGGCTATTCTTATTTATTGGTTATTTTCCCTAAAATTTAAAACGCAGCTACACATAATTAGAGCATGATATTATTTCCAATGTTGTTACTTGGCCTTGTATGCTAAGAAAAAAACTAAGACTCGTATGCACTAAATTAATTATCCTTACCTTGAACAATTGTCCATTCTCCATTGCGGCAAGTAACAGGCAAAGAGTAA